TTCACCACTCCTCCTGTCCACTGATTCCCATCCCTCTGCCTCCTCCGAGTTGTGCCAACAATAACTGATTACAAAGCTTTGCTGCAGACCAGCTCAGGGACCCGACCAAGCTAAAAGAACTCGACCTCCTCCCTTTTGTTCAGGTTGTCTTATCCACATTATTTGCTCAATCGCACACACTGTGGCATTGCCTCGCAAAAAGTCCGGGGGCGAGGATGGAACTTTGCCCTTAAACATTCCTTTCACAATAACAACACCTCTCTCTCTTTCATGGAAGCTGCTCACTGCTGCCCACTTCCCAACAGCACCGTGGGGCCAATAAACCAGGGCAGGTCACACAACCAAGGCAGCTGAAGAGTAACCCAGAGTCAGCAGAAAACGAGGGGCTAATTTTCATTTGGATCAGCTCCGTGTTCACCTTCTGGTTGCTCAATCAAACAGTAATTCGAGACTAAGAGAGAAGGCTGGACTGAACCAGCAAGAGAAGATGATGAAGCAGCAGCAGCACAAGCTGTCATGCTGAATTAAACTGGACACAGAGCCATGCCCTAAGGGAATGTACTCCAGAGCCTGCCGAATTTTGCTTGATTGGAGAGACATCTACAAATGCTACTCCCTCCACAGAATGTCAGGAGGGGTAACAAGGGGTGGCTGAAGTTCTGAGTAAGAATGGACTCTGTGTCTTTTGACAGCTCTCTCTAAGTCTCCATTAATTAGTACTGTCCTACATTATCATGGCAAGACTTCCAGAGTGTCTCCAATTCTCCAAAGTGACAAACACTGGATAAGAGCAGAATAGTATCAGATGCATAGAGACCTGTAAACTTTTGGGCTAGAAAGCAGAGGTCACTTTGAATCCTTACCAAACACTATATTCAAGACATCTTTTAACCTGGTTTTGTTAACCACTTGCTGCCAAATGCGGATCTGAAACATTCCCTAACCCTCCAACACTTCTCAAACACGCTTGGTACAAAAATAATTGTTCATCAGACCCTATTTTGAAAGACTAAAAAACAATCAATAACATAAAAAAAAATTAAGAAGTAAAAACAGTGTACGAAAATATTGTGGTTAAAGATGAGAGAAGATCCTGCAACAGGCACAGAAAACTAACATCAAACAAGTATAGGCAAGGTGCTCTCTGTATTATCCAGCTCAGTAGAGCCATCAAAATTACTGCAAGAATTACCAGACAGGCTTTACCACTGAAACCTCACACCATGACTGACACACATGTTATTTAGGTATGGTCTGTCAAGTAGCAAAATGCTGTCGAATAGATAAAAAGCCCTATTGTAATAAATTTCAATTTTGTTTTCAAACCAGAGCAGATGAGAAAGGGCGTATTTGCCTCATTTTTAAGAGATGCAAAAGTGAAACCATGCAGAGCATAAATTAGTACTTTACACTAAACACTTTCAAGAGCTGTTGGGACTTGAAGAGTCTATTCTGCAATGCCAGTGTTAACACAGGCAGGGGCTGGATGTGACAACAGAAACCTTCAGTCATGGACATTTCAAGTGTCACTTCCAGTGACTTCTAGTCACTACATGTAAACAAGGAATGACAGAATTATGGAATCATTTAGGTTGGAAAAGCCCTCTATGACCATCAGGTCCAACTGTTCCCCAGCACTGCCAAAGCCACCACTAACCCATGTTCCCAGGTGCCACATCCACATGGCTTTTAAATCCCTGCAGGGACGGGGACTCCACCACTGCCCTGGGCAGCTGTGCCAGGGCTGGACAACCCTTTCCATGAAGCAATTTTCCCTAATATCCAACCCAAATGGCCAGTTACTGGACAGTCAAATGCACCCTTTGCTATAGGTTTGTAGCACGAGTGGTTTGAGCACTGCAGAAAGTCAAACCCTATGTTCTAAAGCAGTGCTAAAACCAGAGGCTGTGACTGACACCACATACCCCTTCCCCACCCTCTGACCCCCATTCCCAGACTTTGATCCCCCCCTTCCCAACCTTTGAATCCCCTTCCCACCCTTTGCACCCCCTCCTCACCTTCTGACCACCTTCCCACCGACTGAACCCCCCCCCGCACCCTCTTCCCAGTCTCTGATCCCGATTCCCACCCTCTGACCCCCTTCCCAATCTCTGACCTCCATTTCCACCCTGTGACCCTTTCCCACCCTCTGTACCCCCTTCCCGCTCTCTGCACCCCCTCCTCACCTTCTGACCACCTTCCCACCGACTGAACCCCCCCCCCCCCCCCCCCCC